GTAGGGTGATAGAAAATGCAACTTAAATGTCAGCAAAGAAATAAGAGGTAGAAAGCTCCTTACTATAGCTTTAACTTTTAAATAAAGTAATATACTGAGGGTTCAAAAACGGCTGATATGATAACCTAACTTGTTGTGTAAATATTAATCAGATTAGTTTCAATCTTTTAATCCAACATCCTGCAACTACTTTAATAATATGATAAGAAAGATTCTGTCAAGGTCATGGAAAGTGTTGTTTTTTAGCAGGGGGAGAAATTTTCCAATATATTTTTTCAGCTAACTAAAGCTTTCTGTCAAAGGTATTAAATTACAAATGGAGCATGACCAGGCACATAGGACGGTGGGGGGTTGGATAGTCATTTACATCTCAGAAGCAGTCAAGGGTAGCGAACCCAAATGGAACTGCCACTACTGTCTCCCTCTTGGTTTTATCAGTCTCCTTCTCTGAATTAGCCCTGTATGAAAATCAAAACCGCTATATGGATTTGCCAAGCCCTCCCTTCATTGAGATAGCTCAGAATCCACCACCCAAGGCCCGGTGAGGGACTGCGGACTGTGGAAGATCACAAGGTGCGCATTTCATCGTGCCGGTCTGAACCGTGAATTAGCCATGCATGACAGGATAATACAAGGCATGAAATTAGCTACAGCTCCCCCTTCTCTGTGATCCGTCTCTCTGGACATCAGCTATTCTCTGCTGGTGTATTTGCTAAACTTTCCACAGCAAATAAACCGGCAGAAAAAAATCTGATTAGAATTACTGCCAGGGGTTAGCTCTGCAGGGAGGTGTAGTGAGCAGACTCAGTACAGTACAATAACATCATTTACTACTATGTAAGATTGAAATGGGAGATATATTATATTCTGGCATAGCTCAGAGCTTAAAAAGAAAAATGGTGAAATAAATAACACGAATAAAATCACAGAAACACACAAAAAAGCAAAATTAAGATAAAAAGTCCTTGAAAAGAGAGTAGTTTGAACCGAGTTCTATGGTTTATCTAGAGGTCAGCTGATATAGGACCTCTACCTCGATGTGACCCAGAGGTCATATATGTTGGATTCGTTGATGGGGCCATAAATAGCCCTTAAGGTCAGCAGTGAGATCTTAAAATAGATTTTAAAACCTACTCAGAGCCAGTGCAAGGAAACTAAAACAGACATGGTGAAGCCATCCTGTTTGGTTTTGCCGATCCAAATTTCGTCACGTGCTCTAAAATGTAATCTAAAATTTTTGGGCTGGTCAGTGGGTAGGATTTGTTTGCTATGTGCCGACTATTGAGTCAGTCTCACTTTTACTGAAGTGGAACTGCCGATAATTTTAGATTTATCATTAGAGCCTTTGGCCGAGGGTCAATGGCTCTGACAGGTAGTGTTGTGCCGTTCATGAACGATTTGTTCAAAAGAACGGAACTGCTGATTGAATGACATGAATGGAATCCCTCCCAGACCTGATTCGGGAATGGAACTGCCAACTTCGAATCTTTGGCGAATGACACACAGCCAGTCAGTAAGCGAGCAGGCGGGCGGAGTCTTGTGATTTGCTTGCAGTGACTGAACGACATGTATCAGTCAGACTGTGAACGAAACGAACGATTTTCGAACAACTTGAGGCAGGCAGAGGAGGGAGGGGCGTGGCGTCGTTCATGAACTGCCGAGCACCGGATCGTTCACTGTGAGTCACTCCACTTTTCTGCGATATAAAAGAACAATGACTCACACTCGTTTAGCGGGCTTGCCACTGTGTTGTTTCACTCGCGTTGAGATGCGAACTTCAGTGGCATACAGAGAGGTGAGTTTTTCAGGGCCGGGGAGTGATTCTTCCTTCAAGACTTGGCGAATGAACGATATGTGTCGGGGCTCTCAAGCACTGACTGATTCGATCAATAAATCTTTTGAACAAATCATTTTAATGAACAGATTCTAAAGAGTCAAAAGAACTGTTCTTTCCATCACTACTGACAGGCAGGTATATCTGTGTGTCATTACCATGAACCTGAAGGTTAATGCCATGTCCATAGAAGATATTTTCTAGGGGAGAGTGTAAGAGGGAAAAATATAATGGGCCTCAGAACTAACCCCTGAGGGACTCCGCTGAAAGGAGAAACAAAAAATACACATTGTCACATCTGGACAGGTGCACAAGGAAAACCTTTGTGAGTCTATCCAAGATTTACCCACCTAGTCCTCCAGAAGGCTGTGATGGACTGTGTCAAACACAGGTGAAGGGCAAAACACAGAAAACAGTTATGAAGGCAATTTTTCCTTAAGTCCTCAAAGATGTTGACTCTGAAGGATCTTTTGCCAAGCGACATTTTCATCTGAGGTTTGGTTCCCTCTGCTCCCTTTCTTGAGATCAATGCGCGCGGTTTCACAGAGCGCTTTATGTTCCCATGTGATGTACCTATACTTGTCCTTGTAACATACTCTAACCGACGGGAAAAAGGATGTCAATTGCTGTGCCTTTGGGGGAAAGGAGTCACTCGACATTGGCTCAATTGACCCGGCGCTCCCGCTGGATTGAAGTGTTTTTGGCTGAGTGAACAGTGTTTCAAGGTTATAGAGAGGGATGCAGTCAAACGTAATGGCAGCCTGTAATGAGTGTTTTCCTGTGGGATGGACGGTGACTTTGTGGATGGCAGGTGATTCCAGGCCTAGGGGGGGACGGATTAGAGACTCTCCTGACATCTTTGAGCTCAGACTAATTCAAACTGATAAAAAGCACACACTTCTTTTTTCTTTCACTTGATCTTTCGTGCCCTTTTAGATTTGAACCCATTTGAGCATCTTCATCTCTTTCTTTTCTTATTCCTGCCTCATTTAATCTCTGTCTGCTTCTGCCTGAGCTCCCATTCCCTTAAACCTGTTTTGCTTTTCCTCTAGTTTTCCCATCACCTCAGTTTCCAAAACTGACACTGTGATATCCTTTACATTTCCTTCTGACAGATTTTACTCTCATTCATAAAAGCTTTACTCTTACTTTTAAAGATTTCCCATCCATACTGTCATGATATATTCCGCTCAGATATGTTCCTGCATTTTGTTTATTTTTGCCTTTGGGATTTTTTCAGTTTGACATTTGAAGAAAGTTTTTGTTGCTTTTTTTTCATTTCCTTCTTTTTAAATAAATCTTTTTTTGTCTGCATTTGGGTCCTTTCCCTTTTGCTTTAACTCAGGCTCATGACACATATGGCATGCCAGATAAAAAGGTTGTCACTGGTTCTGTCGGTAGGGACTCGAATGGGCGCTCACACCAAGCGCCAGTAAAATCATCTAATCGCTTAATTCGCGCGAATCTAGACGCATGAATGAATAGCATCTCCTAGCTTCAATCACGTGTCAAAGATAATTTCTACAGTCATTTCTGCCAATTCAACTTGCAGGATCAAGTTATAGACAAACTTCAGCAAACTTCACGCTGATTAGTTATCGCGACACAAAAATCCGCTCAAGTTGAGACATTTCCAGCTCACGGCCAGTTCGCGTCATTCGCGCGTCTAATCGCGTCTATGCATTGACTTAACATGTAATTCATTCGCGCGAATGATTTTACTCGCTCTTGCGGTGTGGAGAGAGGAGTTAATCTCTTAGTAAAAGCCTGTGTAACTTAGTTCCTAGTAAAAGAAAAGCATTTGTCTTAAACTTTTGCTGAAAAGTAAAGACCAAGTCAACTGGACTGTACGCACATGCTTATCGCCCACAGTCACATTCATGAACACATAATGGATATGTGTCCAGATTGTAAAAAAGCCCATTCATGTGCACAATATTGCCTTCTATCTAACCATTCTCTATTATGTTTTTGTGCAACATACCATTCAAACACTTATATAAGCTTTCTTTAAGCTCAGATGCTTATATTGTTGGAGGTTGTTCCACAGAGTCTGCATCGGCACAGTCGCTACCTCTCAGCATGTGAGACGTGTCACGGCAGTAAATGGCGTAGAATAAGAGTTATTGGCCTGAGCATTGTGGCAGAAATAAGTGATAAATCACAGCGCAGTACTATGTGGACACTTCATCAGGCTGTGCATTTGCCGAATATGCCGGCTGTAATGCTGAAGTGATGAGCGCCATCGCTTGTGATTCTCATTGTAATTAATGTCGGCGCGGAAAAGGCCGAGTGTGTGTGTGAGAGAGAGAGATAAAGGAAGAAAGGCAGAGGGATGGAAAGACAGGAGGTAGAAATTAGCAATCCTGAGAGGAATGTGTAATATAGGGTTGGACTGGGTGTTGATTCGGAGATGATGGTAATTGAAGAAGAATTAGAGGTGAGCGAAAGGTGAGATCAAATACTGTGTAATGTTAAATGACTTCCAGGTGTATTTCAGGTTGTAGTAGTCCAGTTTGATATGCTCTTTGCTGGATCATACATTGAAGAAGATAACCCTGAAGTGAATTGGTCTGACTTAAGTTTTAGCCAACAAATGTGATTTGTTGGCTATTTCAAAACCACCAAAAATACAGACTGAGTGCGAAAAGGCCTTGAGAGTTTGCCATTTTGTTTGAATTGCCGCTCAAAGGATTACAGGATTTGTCGGCGCCACAAGGCCCAGTAAAAGCCTTCAAAACTGGTCATCCTTGACATCGCCACTGCAACACAATTGGTCCTCAAACAGGCGGGATGCAGACGCCGAATTGACACACAGGTTTTTAAGAAAGACGAACATTCATTCAGAGATTTGTCTCCGCTCACTGACTCAAGTTTTTACTTAAATTTAGCTCAGTTTTTGTCTCTACCAACAGCTGAAAAATATCTTTCTTCTTAGTTGATTTATCTTTATCTATTCTTGTTCGCTTGTTTCCAACAGCGAGTCTATCTTGGTGCTCAGAGGACGACTTACAGTGAAGGGTTTAGCATAGCTTTAAGCTGAGAGACGAGTAGTAATAGTCCTATATCAGTTTTTGTGCCATACAATAAAAACAATGAGCCAAAAAAGCAAGAATTAGCACTTAACGTTATCAATGGTTATGTGTTATGAGCTGTGATATTGCTGCAGTGGGCCAGCAAGAACAATACATAGCTCAATAGCAGCTAAATGGACTTTCATAATCATCAAATTAAGTATTTACAGTTGGGCTTATCCCTCTATGATAGGTCAAAAATGTCTCATTCAGAAGAGGTCTTTGTAAAACCGCAGAGGCACACAGCGTTGCTCTCTGGTTGTTCCCAAACTTGACTCTGTCTTTAGATGATGCCACAAAAGCAAAGCTACTCCACAGAAAAAAGGAACACTAATTTTCATTGAGCCGTTTAGAAAACAAAACATACTGAATAAGTAATGTTAATGAAGATCAGTGCATCTCAAGGGTAGGTAATGGTGTAGATTTCTAGACTAAAGCGCTATAAGATAATTGTACCAATTCTTGGCCCAAGTTTCCCCTCTGACAAAAGTCGGTAAAGGCCCAATCATGAGACGTTCTTAAGATTATCTTTGTTATTCTTTCTGTATGTGTGGTAAGAGTTGTTTTTCCCCCCCTGCAGTCTCTGCAGAAGTTGATCAAAGCCTCCTGGACTGGAAATAGTAAAATCCGAAAGATGGCTGAGCATGGATGCTGTCCATTTTCACAGGGAACAACCTGAAAGCTAACCAGGAATCATTGCGAAACAAATGCAACCATGGCAATGACAGTAGATGTTAAGCATAAACATAAAATATGGAACCCATTTGTTGATACATGATGTGTTAAGACATCGAGTTCTGTAAAACATACCACAACCAAAAGGACGAGGGAAGTCTGAATCAAGATCCACACACACAGGATTTGCAGCCTGGGCATCTGGACGACATCAGCCAACTGAGAAGACGATGAAGGAAGAACTAAAAGGAATTGGACAACGTTCACTACATATATTACTTTAAAATCAGATTGATTTTTTTTCACAATTTTTGAGCAAAGCACAACATATTTTGGGAGCCTGAGTGATGTTAAACATGGGTACAAGGTCCTTGTTGAGGATGGTTGTCCGAGGCCCATGGCTCCAGACATCTAGCACCAAGTATCCGAGGTATTTGAGTGACACAGCTCCACCACCCTCAAGGATGACCTGACTCTTCCAAAGTCAACCGTTGATTATCTTCTACCCCTGATCGATCCTATCCAACCAGGTAAGTTTAAACATGATGGATGTAAACATCAAGTTCTGATATTTTAGATCATAGCCACCCGTTCCAGGTAGACACATTCCCTTGCTCACCCCTCATGTCAGTGAAGCAACGGTGGCCTTTGAGGACAAGAAGCTCCTGTGCTGTATAAGAAGTAAAATCCTCTATTTGTCAAGTGTTACCATCAAAATATCTTAAGATACAAACTCTGATCGACATCTTTGTCCCTCTGAATTATGGGTATTCCATACAGTTTGTCCATTCTGTGCACCCATAGAACACAGTGGTCAAAGATGGCAGCCAAATCTTTGTAATATCTATATTTTTTGGAGTTTAGACACTCATATCAACATACTTACAAATGCAATATTCCATTTCTATTAATTCTGTTCTGCTTAATGTCCCTATAAACTGCGTACTGCACCTTTAATGGTTTTATAAACCTTTATATGTCCATTAAAATTGACCTTCTCCATCCCGAAGATATGGGGCTATTTAAGAGTTATGTATTGCAGTATCCTATTATATTCTACTTTATGTTCTTTTATTGCATTGTGTTCAAATATATACAGAGGTATTTTATGATGTACCATTAGATAGCTCCGTTTTTTTACACTCAGTAATCATTCAGAGAAACCTTTTCAGTCTGCAGGTGGAGTGTATCCCTGACATCTCTGGCTTGCATGATGCATTTCTCACCACTCTATCACGTTTTGCTCTCATTTCAGAGGCGCGCTTTCACCTGCCAGCCTTGGAAATGGAGAGGAAGCCGAGATGCTGTGTAAATTACAGAAAATAAGTGAGTAGTGAAAAAAGAGGATGCACATTACCGGCGAGGCTAGCTGCCTGACTGAACGTGGAAAGAAACAAGAACAGGATCATGTGATTATCTAATCAGACCCGCAGTTTTCATAATGAATATCAACACATGGGAATTAGTGCTCTGCCACTCAGACGCTTATTACAAAGCATAAAAAATCACCCTGATTTAATTTCTTTATATTTGCGCCTCATGCTCTCTTTACTCCTGACATTAATTATCAGTTGATTGATTTGTCATACGGTGCAAACGTCTCATTTAATGGCAAACTGATGGATGTCTCTCCATAAAAAGACATGGCGCTCACAGCTGTTTAAAAGTCAAGAGTCTGCTAATGAGCCTTTACAAAGAAGAGCACACGCCTGCCTTCATTCGGTTGATTTTTTTACCCCTGGACAATTTGTGTTTTGAAATATAATAGCAGCTTTACAGATAATACATCTTTGTTGGTAAAAGGCAGACATTAAAAGCCAAGGGCACCCCTATTGTTCAGATCTACAGAGCTGATCTGCAGCGCTTTAATGCCGCAAATCAACATTTTGTACCTCACCCTGAACATACAAGAGAAACTGGATGCATTTAAATACTCAAACAAGCTCACTGATCCAATTCCGTTAAGTAGAAAAACCAAACACCTGCAGCAGTCTTTTCTCAGAGCGCCCCAAAGCTCAGCGGTATTTAAAATCCAGCGCACCTCTGATCGACACGCATGATGCATTTTCCCACCCTCTTTGAACCGAAAGCAACAATGCATACTTAAAAACCTCGGGGAGCGGCAACAAATTAAAGATTGAGTTTGAGAAAAACAACAACACGAGCTCGGTTCCCACATTATTCTCACGTCACCCCCTTTCACAGTCCCTGTTTTCTTTAAACTGAATTTCCCCCCCAGTGGCTCACGCAGCACCACCACCACCACACTGTAGCAACAACAGGCCTGTTGATCAATGCCACCTTAATTCCAGAGCATGGATTATAATAGAGGCATTAGCACGCATTGATTAGAGCTCAAGTGAGAAGGCTGGCTGCAGTCTGAGGCGAGTCGATAGAAATATCACTTGGAATGACAAAGACCTGCAGACCACGCTGCAGGCAGATATAAATGTCAAGAACAGGCCCGGGGGACTTTACAGTCAGTTTGTTCTGGATCTCCTGATAGTGCGTTCTAGGTGACTTTCAGTCAATTTAGACATCACTTCATCTTTTATCCATGTTGTTTTATCTTTTCTTTTGCTTGTTGTTTATGTTAAAATGTACGAAAGAGGATTAGGGCCACATGAAGAGAAAAAAAATAATTAAAGGACGGAGATTAAAGTCCAAGTTTCTAGATTAAAGTCGATATTTCGAGATTAAAAAAATCAAAATTTCGAGATTAGAGTCAAAATTTTAAGATTATTAATCTCGTGAATAATGTCCAAATTTTGTGATTAAAGTCGAAATTTTGAGATTAAGACAATCAAAATGATGTCAATAAAGTCAAAATCTCAAGATAAAAGTAGAAATTTTAAGATTACAGAATATTGTGAAACATGGCCGTATTTTGAAATTAAAAAAATTAAAAGATTTGAGACTTAAGTCAAAATTTCAAGATAAAAGTCAAAATTTTGCGATTAAAAATTGAAATGTTGAGATTACATTCAAATTTTCTAGAATATAAAATGTCAAAATTTTGAGATTAAAGTCTGAATTTCAAGATTATAAAATGTCGTGAATAATGTTGAAATTTTAAGAATAAAAAAATAAACATTTTGAGATTAAAGGCAAAATTTTGAGATTAAAGTCGGCATGAATAAAGTCAAAATTTCATCTTATTTAGATTTCAAATTTGATCTCAAAATTTCAACTTTTATCTTGACATGGAATTTAAAAAAAATCTCCCTACTGTAAATGTATATTTTTTTCTTCTTGTGGCCCTAATCATCTTTCATAAAAAATGTATTTTCACATGCACAAAACGCCTAAAAATGCCCAAAATGTTTAGGATGAGCTGCATGTTTGACCAAAAAATGCAAAAACTTATATAGCATTCATCTGATAGCATGTGGTAACCCATACATTTGGCCTCCTTAAAATCACCTGCCCCAGCACAAAACAGGAAATTCTTTAGTAAATTTCATGGGTTTATGTGTGAAAGAGGTCTCTGAAAAACACTTGTGGATGACACTCCTTGGACAACACCAGAAGTGATGCTATTCCTGCAGGAATCTGTTGACTAAAAAGTGTTTTGCATGGACCAGGTGAGCTGGACGTACTCTGAAACAATAATATTTCTTTACAGTTCTAACTGACCTTTTCATGTATCTATTATGCATGTAAATTTGAAGCACATGCATGTGCAATTACCCTCACCCCAGCAAGATAAAGAGCCTCTTTTCCCTGTAATGTCTTGTATCCAAAGTGAGATAACAGGCGGTTCAGTGGGCAATCGGATTAATGAAACAATCAGGCAATCGGCAATCATTAACCAACTGAGTCTAGGGTTTTTTTGGGGGTGGAAAAAAGGATGAGAAAACAACAATAAATGCAGCCAATCGTCTTTATCGGTGAGCAGCACATTGCTCATCCACACCCTCTGCAGCCAGTCATCCAAACCCTAATTAACTCTCTGGAATTGGGTGTTTTTTTGGCTTCGATGTTCATCCCCAGAATTCACACTGCTGGAGATTATCTTTATCTTTTTTTTTCTTTTTTTTTTTTGTTGGGTAATGATAACCGGGGTGTACTGCCGGGTTTGGAAAAGCATGCCTGGGGCAATAATATTTCCACTCTGCTTGCACTTCTATTGACTGTGCTTTGGCAGCCAGAATCTGTCTTACAGTCAGAGTGAGAGACGTGATCCGGCACTGCTCTCAGGGTGAAAAAGAGTATCAGCCGCAGTCAGACCGACATACCGCTTCATATTTGTGATACAAATTACAGGAAAAGTCCAGAATACCTCTGAAGGGCCAAGAAGGTAAGATCTTAAACAGTGCAAACAGGAAAAAAGCAATTGTGACATCCCCCATTGGTTTGTTAATCGCTTTCTTAAATCTTTGAGTCAGGTGTTTTGACCACCACAAAAGTGACGATGCAATGCAGGAGTGTTGCAAGAAACTTGGCAAACAACAGTTAATCAAATCTTAATCTATCCATGGCTAATTCATTAGGTGGTGTGCTACTTTAACACTGCATCCCCCAGTGATTGGATTTCTATTTGTTCTGGCTCTCAATCAAAGTTGTTGAGACAGAACAGAAAAGAAAAGAGCTCATCAATTGTAAAAACTAGTGCGTGCTCACTCTGATTCCCATTCCGAAGAGTGGTGGATGGTATATGTGTTGGCAGAATGAAATGATTGGTTGGCTCGACATTTAGCACGCCAATATCGCCTGAAGAGAATCAAGCTAGGTGTGGTGAGACTCCAGCCTTGAGTATAAACGAGGGCTACAACCAGAGATGTGTCAGTCTGTAAATAAAGTTATTTATTATAAATGTCGGTGGAGTTTTAACCTTTTTAAACTTTTCTTCCTTCTTTATTAGAAGTAGGTGAAGGTGTGCCAGAATCCATAAATGTACTACTCAAATGTCATTAAAAATAAATAGCCTTTTCAGTGGATTTCGGATGAACCAGATTAGCCTACAAGCCGTGTCTTTCCGATCTGCGACTCTCCCGGTCTCACTCGCTCATTCACGTGTCCTTCATTATCCTCCTGCAACATGAAAGATCTTGTTAGACGTCAGAGCGATACTTCTCCACCAACAAGACTTGGTTGTACACAGACTAGTACAAGTAAAAGGTTTGGGAAACCCTTGTCTAATATGTTCTCAGGACTTGTAATAACAATCTGAGCCTGTCACTTGTAGGTGGCGCAATTCAACGATGCCCTGTCAAACTATGTTCTAGCTTACAGCTAGCTGGACCAATTTCTGAAATTGTTCCCCGCATAGATATCACTTGCATTTTAAACCAGCCCCTAGTGGCCACCTGGGGAACTGCAGTAATCAACATGAGTTCTCCATCCTCATGGTTTTGCAAACCTTGCTGCTAGCTGGACTGCTTTCAGAAATTGTTCTCCCCATCAGTCAAACATACAAACACATAAGAAAATAGGTTGAAAAATACCAAAATTTCCCTTTAAATATACTTAGAATTGTCAGGCAGAGCCGACCCAAGGTGTAAGCGAACTAAGCGCCTGTTTAGTGCCCTGCGGCCAGTAGAGGGCCCCCAAGAGCAAAAAAAATATATGTAATTTTTTATATTTTTTGCTTGTATGAGTGATGCTTTCTGTATGATCAAACCTATATTATTGTATATATAACACTGATTAATATTATTACCTAGGCCACCCCCTTAAATGTGTAAAGACATGTCAGGCGCATTACATTTATACTGTAGTAGGTGTGTGAATGATCAACAATCAATATTATTGGCAGAAATAGAGGACCCCAAAATCAAATTTTGCTTAGGGCTCCATCTGTTGTGAAGTATCGCTTGCATTTTGAACCAGCCTCTAGTGGCCACTTGAGGAACTGCAGTAATCAACACTCCAGTTCTCCATCCTCACGGTTTCTGCTTGGATAAATGAGTGAAAAATGTACAGAGAAAAAAAAACACTTATGCAGATTTAGTCACGCAGGTTTCCTTTTCTCCAAAGACACGGTACATGTTACTTCTTCTCCCTCCTCCTCCTCCTCCTCCTTCTTGTCAAGCGTAAAGTAAAGCAGCGCAGTGAAACTGCTCTGTTTGCTCTTTTATCCCCCCATGGAGCATCTGGTCGGTTTGAGCCGTGTAGCTGTGAGAACACACACCCTGGGCCCCCAGTGTGAAATGTCACCCACTAACACACAGCGATGGCATCTTCCAGCCGAGCGTTTTCATTTTCCTAAGCTTATGCTAAATGTGGATCTCTTGTGCAGCTGGGGGTAGCTGCTGGAGATGGAAAAAGAGAGACAGAGCGATGGGAGAGAGGTGGAGGGCAGGGCTGTTAAAGGTGACGCAGGGACATGCAGAGCTTATGGGGGAATGTGGACATGACAGAGACACGGGTTGGGGGCAGGTGAAGGGGTGAATCGTGTTGTCATGTTTCGCCGCAGCTCGGGGGTTAAAGGCTAATTTGACGTCAGACGGGGAATGAGGAAGAGAGAGGAACCGCAATGAGGCTAATGCGGAACGATACGTGGATGAGGGAGATGAGCTGAAGAGTAGACTCACTCAAACAGTCAGGTTCACTCATTCAGTTTATTCCCATGGAGGGCTAATGTACGAGAGAGGCAGACAGAGTGGGTGGGATGGAGCGAGAGATAAAAAAGAGGAGAGGGAAGCACAAAGAAATAGGAGCTTAGGGCATTAGTAGGAGTGTTACATCATGGAATTGTAAAAAGATTGGGTCAGGTGGGAGTTTGTCTCCTCCAGGACGAAATTTAAAGAGTCTACAAAAAACAACCCGCCTGATAACTCAGAGAGCTTATTATCCCACAATCCTCCGCTGGCAGGTCGGGCAATAGTCAGCTCTTTGAGGCCCCCAGGACGGAGATCTGCACCATGGGGGACCTCTTCCTCCTGCTGGTGGAACAAACTGCACAGACACCCAGGAGCACTGCTCACTATGAGTTCTTTTAATAAACACGCCTCCAGAGCTTTTGCTTTTTTAGGATGCATTAAACGTTCATTAGTAAGTCCTGTCTCGCCTCGGCTCTGAATTTGAATCCCGTTCTTGTACTTGAAGTCTCGACATCATACAACATCTTTTATTCCATGAT